TAAATGTTTCTTGTGATGACATTTTCATGACACAATGACACAATGTATACGATAATAGCTCAATATCTATTTGATATAAGTTAACTAAATACACATACATATTTGTTGAAATTATAATTATAATACGTAGAAGGGAATTCACTTTAAAATAACACACAAACTACTACGCGGCTTAGTAAAAATACTAGGAAACTTAAATTTAAATAAAAATAAATAATTTATTGAATTTTAAATAATTTCAAGTATAAAATACCTCATCATTCTAAAAATATGCATAAATAATATTATGATAAAATAAATATAAATATTATATACCATGTGTTCTAACTAGCGAAATATTATCCTTATACTTCAACCTGATAAAACTACAACTAGTGATTTTTTGCGTTTATTATTTATTAATTTATTTCCTGTGTACTTTTCTGATCAAGAATTATACTACAGTAAGTTTTTGTAAACGTTTAAAGTTATATCTAGTATATACTGTTAATTTTGATATCCGATCATCGGAGTTTAGATTTTAAAAGTTCAGTTGAAATTGGAACTTTAGATAAGTTATAGAATAAAAAAACTATATGAACATTTGTCGGAGTTGAATGCATTTAAGGATAAATTTATCGAGTAACGAAAGACTTTAACAACCTTAAACTAAAGTGTCAATATTTTAGGGTAGAACTAATTAATGTGCGAAGCACATTTGACACGCTTACAGAAAAACCAAATTCTTAATGAATAATACTTAAAATATATCATGTGACATTGACTTTATCAAATTATTTTTAATTAAATTTTTTTTTTTAACATATTATTATTATTTTTGAAATAAGTTAATCATATTTTTATAATAAAAAATCAACAAACACGTATTAAATATTATGGTAGTTCAAAGTTAGAACTTAATAAATCAAAAACTGTTGAAATTAAAATGTAACCAAAGATAATATCACTTAAAAAATAATCACGAAAAAGGTAATAACCCATAGGTAGTCTTGAATTGCTATCGTTTAAATTGTATAAAAGCAGTTTACTTAAAATGGTGAATCGATATTTCACTGCATTATGTTCATTCGAAATGTTAAAAAAGAACTTTAGTAGTTAATATATTTGTATTTGGAACATTAGAATCATTTTTGTTGCTCCATTTACCTTAAAAATGAATACGCAATGAATATATTAAATATTTGAAAAAAAACCCACATGTCTTTGTAAATCCAAGACATTCTTCGTTTATATGCAAACAAAAAACTTTTGTTTATTTTTATCATTTCTAAATTTTGTTCAAAGTAAACTAAACTAAAGGTATATCGTTGACATTTCGAGTTTTACTCCAATTTAAATAAACCTACTAATTACTAATTATATTTTAATTAAGTATGTAATAATTTCGATAATCTACCAGTATCTAATGGCCATTTCATGTGAGTTTCACAGTTGTTGGTCGTTTTCGAATATTATGTCCATGTTTACATGATTGTATTAATATTATATTACATTTTATTGTATCATCATCAACGCAATTACTAAATAAATTATATAATTTTGTAAAAAAAAAAAAACCTAATCATAATATCTTCTATTTATAGTTTCCTGGGCCAATCGAAGTTAACGTTGAAAGCTTTTGTTATGATCAGAGGTGGATAGGTAGTTTTTTTGTTACAGGGAAATATTTTAATGGGGAAACCAAAATGAAAAAAAAAAAATTTGCTTTTAAAAATCTATTATATTTACTCATCCTAATTTAATTTAAATAATTTAACTAAAAAATGATAATGAATTTACATGAAAAAATTAATGGTATCGAGGGGGCCATCGACATAATATAGGACGAGGGCCCACAGGGAAAATCCTTTTTTCACTATGGGCCTATCTATCCTTTGGTTATGATTATCGCTCGAAAAAAAATGTTAACGAACTTTTGTTTTTTTTTGTTTAATATAATTATTATTACTATCAAGCATCACGCCAAATGATTTAACGTCACAAGGTTATTGTATTTCAAGTAACATATGGTTAAAGTATTAAATAAATTATGTGTATAGTGTGTATATTCTTTTAGTAAGTACCTAATGCTTCTGAAAAACCAGTAAGATGATGAAACAGGAAAATAGCTGATCATTATACTACTATTTGTAGAGTTTATTATAATTTACTATATTAAGTGATATGTGATTGATGATGTTTCATTCTGTAAAATGTAATTTACTAAAACCTGTTTTTACTTTATTTAATTATAAATGTTTGCATTTAAGTATACGATGGAAAATAATTTTGAATTTTTTTGTTAATTTTGAATTTTACAGACATATGTGTGAACAATTTATCTTAAAATAGCTGCATTTGTAACTTCAATTAGATCGTGTGCAAAATTAACAATGTTAAAAATTAAATTATTTAATATATGTATACTTAAAATATATTTAATTTTATTATTTTTTATTTTTATACGTCTTGCACTTGTTTGTCTATCTACTTTATTTTATTGATGATAAGATTGTTTCAAAAGTTGCATGAAGACTTTAGTCTGCATGATACAAGACCGTATTATTCATTTGAAAATACGGCATTTGATCTGAAATATATAAGCTATTTGATTAATTTATTTGTATTGTATGTATTATATTAATATTAAATCATTATAATGAGTTATAATTTTTAAATCCATTTGATCACTTTTGGTCGTTTTAATTTCGTTTTTAATACGTAGATACAATTTTAATTTTGATCAAATAAAAATGATCGAATTTAGTTTGAAAAAATGTTAGATTGAAAATGTGCAGTTAAATTATATTGGCACTGGTGGGAGGAACATTAGTCTTTAAAATTCAATTACAGCTTTTGAAAATATTAAAGATTGTCTGTAGGTATATCGTATATGTAATCAATATATTATTCGACATGCATGAAAAAAGTTATATGTTTTAAACTAATTAAAGAACTAAAAATTGTTTTAATGTGTGTTATATAATGGGAAAAGTAAAAAATCATAGAATCAGTGATAATTAACTTGTTCTTGAACACATATGGCTATTTGAATAAACCTTGTCGCAAAAATAAACTTTTCGTAATTTAAATATTATTGAAAAAAGTTATGTTTTTTACCAGTTTGCGGTGCATTCATTTCCGAATAAACGTAATATATTGTATCTATGGTATACAATAAAGAGTTTTTGATGAAATGATGCATTAAAAACGAAAAACAATGTATTTATCAATTTATTTATTGAAACAGGTGGAACATCGTGTTTCTGCATTGATAACACGAACCAAGCTTAAACAGATTTACCAACAACAAAGTTAGCGTTTTGACGTGACGGAATAATACTATACTACACTTACGGTGTAACGAGGAAATGAAAAAAACGATGATTTTATTTGTCAGGTTTCTTCCGCACTCCTACAATTACAATATATATTATTTAACGTGTATTGTAAGCATTATTTTCCGTGTACGATTTTTATAATATCAGGGTCACGTAATAATACAAACAAACTAGTTTACCTATTGATCTTAAGGCGTGTATTTTTAACGTAGGTACCTATCAATATATAACGTTGTTTTGGACTCATTTGCGGACGATTATTAACAATAATTATTATTATATTACCGTGGGCCTTGAATCATTCGCGCGTATTTGGCAGTGCAGCCGTGTACGCATATACAAATGGGTACCTTTCAAATTCGTTAATTGCATTTTGTAGGTACATTTATTGAAATACTATTGAAATATTAATCGATCCAACAAACACATGTGTTATAACCTATAATAGTGCACGTTAAATCGATAAAATGTTGTATAAGGTACGAAAAAAAAAAAAAAAAAAAAAACACTCATGCTCGAAACGACTGAAATATAGTCACGTAGCACAATAGGTAGTCTACGACGATGTTTGAACGTAATGCTGCACAAATCGGTCGAGTTAAGGACCTATAAATCGGTATCATAATAACAGTCGGTCGGAGAGACATGCAGACAGTATTTTTGTTTTAACACTCGCAATATACGTACATATCGTATTATGGTATAATATCAGTCTTATCAAACGTCCATCATTAAAGACCGTACAACGATTAGTAATAATTGTTGATGTAGTCAATACGATTTTATACTGGTTATTTTGGCGTTTGGTCTAGTATTAGTGCAATGCCAACGAAAATCACAATCAAAATATCGATTCCACCGAACACCGTATTACATAACTGGTGAATCGAATTGATGTCGTGATGAACTGTCATGTTTTTCCATAGAGACCGTACACTAATTTTTTGTGACACATCTTGTTAATTAAATATTCGCCCGCCGTCGGGACTAGAAACTTTTGCAGAAATAACGAAAACTTGTATACCTCGGTTACGTTCTTATCGTACGAAATACAAACAAACCCGTCGGGATGTTTTCATCGAAAACCCAATAACGCTTAGCGAAAGCCAGTGAATACGTCTATTTGGACGCCCGTATTATACCGATTTACTGTGGACAATACGCGAAAAGAAAAAGGAAAAACGACCATCGCGGTTCGACACCGCATAACGTATAGTACCGCCGTTCGATTAATGCACCGACAGCGTACGGTTTGTGATGTGTACCATAGTATCGTTATAATTGTAGACGGAAGGATGAAATTAATTACGTTTATTCTCAGTACGTTACGTCATACTATACGAATATCGATGTCGCCGATTGTTCGTCAAAATCAGCGAAAAGGACTACGAGCCATGGCGACGACGTATTTCGCGATACGAATATACACGTTACATAATAATATATATATTTATTCTCCCTCTCTCTCTCTATAATATTTGTTTGAATAGTACACGTTTGCAAGCGTACAGGTAATTATAATACGGTGGAGAATACGATATAGAGGATTGGGCGAGAGGACGCGCGCGGACGAGAAGGGAGAGCGCGGGAAGGAGAAAAGTGCGAAGTTGACAAACTGCGGCGGCACCTCTTTACGGTATTGCGCGTTCCCCTCCGCGGTTATAAATTCGTCCGGCGCGCGCTCTCCATCGCACACGCGCGCCCGCCACGCTTCTCCGAAGACCCGACCGGACGCCAGAGCCGCTATCGCGCGCACCACACACCTCTCATTCAGTGTCGCGCGCTGACCGTCTCCAGCCGTCCACAGCCAACTCGTTCGCTTACACGTTTTCTTTACACGGGCTCGTAAACCGTATTTCCCGCGCCCACTTTGCCGCCGATCTCGTCTTCCGTCCCTTCGCGCGCACTCACAGCAACCCCGGTGCACAGTACCAAAGACGCCGCGCGACATGGCCACCACGGTGTCGAACGGTAACGGCACGGACGTCGTGAGTCTGCTGAAGAAGAACAAACCGCCGGCGCTGAAAAAACTCGCCTCGTGGAAAGACGAGAACGAGTTCGACAGCAACCCGAAAACGCCCAGGACCTCTACTACACCGGGTACATACAAACGCGCCCGCAGCGGTATTTTCCCTCGAGGATCGCTGGCCCGTGGGCAAACGACCCGTTTAATGTAGAGCGCGCGCTCAAAGCGCGATCGCGATTCGTGATCGTTTCGTGATAGGTTTTAAATTATATTATTGTTCATGTCGAGTTATGCGAATCGCGAGAACAGCTCCGGAGAAATTTTAACGCCACCAAATGAAACAATGATTGATATTAGTAAAAATATATTGCGTAACAGGAAAGTCAAATAGCAATACAACTCGATTAATAAAATGTTTGCAATTTCTTAATTTTTTTTTTTTTCAAACAACGGCTAACCGTGTACACACCTGGGCAACGGCGAGGGGGATGATAAAATTCATTGTTTCCCCTCCCCCCACGTACGTACAAAACTATATTGTGTTGTTGTCGGCAGGTCATGAGAACTGCACGTTCCACCACGACCTCGAGCTGGACCACAAGCCGCCCACTAGGGAGGCACTGTTGCCGGACATGACGAACTCGTACAAGATGCTGCTGAGCGCATTGGGCGAGGACCCGGGACGCCAAGGATTGCTGAAGACGCCGGAGAGAGCGGCCAAGGCCATGTTGTTCTTCACGAAGGGTTACGACCAGACGCTGACAGGTATATCGCGCGGATACATGATGCACGTGCGCAGGGCCATAGCAAGAGGGTGGCGAGAGGTGCCTACGCCCCGGGCGCAATTTCTGAGAGAGCGCAAAAATGCAAATCTTGCATTTAATGTTAGAAATTACAAGGGTCAATGTCGTATATTTTGTTTACAAAATATTTAACATCCTTCATATTAATTAAAGTGATAATTGAAAATAATATTTAATAAGCGTAATATTTATAAATTAAAAATAAATAAGGGTGTATTTTGAAGTTTCGCCCCGGGCGCAATGTATGGTTGCTACATCACTGCATGTGCGTACGATTTTGCTTCGTTGAAGAGCGCGCGCATATCACCTCCGAACGTTTGCGCGACTTGCGTATAATGTTCTTAACGCAGTTCGTCACACCTTAATACGTCTACGGCGGTGAAACGACACGCAGTCGCCACTGATGCTGTTCTTTCACCGCGGCCGTTAACGTTGTCCTGACCAGTGGTACAACTAGGGGGTTCGACCTCCCTTCTCAGAAATATCTAGTTAACTCAATCTTACCTCATTCTCCCTACCACACACTTTCCAAATTTACATTTATTTTCAAATGTATAGCTTTCCTCCCTGACCCCTAAAATAAATCCTGTTAGCGCTACAGGTCTCAACAACATGTCCGATACACATACGGTGCGTTTTCGACAAAAAAAAACTGTTTAGATACACGCAGGGAGGATGAATACCACTGCCGTATAAATAGACGACAGGAATAAGGTGTGGCTCAGCGAAAGGAGTCCTATGTATTCACAAAAAATGCATTTGTAACGTTGGAGGGAAGTAATACTGTTGATGCAACACAATGTATTGTAGATCGCAGAGTAAATTAATTATAATTACATACAATGATTTATACAATGATTAGTTGTAAAAATATTATGAACAAGTTATTCTTCCTCACTCAAGTGCCAGTTGGTCTTCGTTACGTTTTCTCAAGAATGATACATTATAATTATACGTCATGTTATAGAAATTAATTTTAGTCGATTAATAACAGTGGTGCCGCAAACGAATGAAAATCTCGTATTTTCTTTAAAACTTTAAGTAACCATTTCCATTTCCATCCGTGCACGTATATCTAAATTATTTTGAGTTCATATTTTTATCGGTTTTAATTATTTTATATTTTATCCTTGATTGACCGACGACAAGAAAAACCAAATCCAATCGTTAATGAATAATTCGAATTAATTTGGATTTGATTTACGTTGGTATTCGTGTCACAATTTTTACCATCAATATAGAAATCAAAATAAAAATTATATCCATTTCGAAATATATTATATGTATATAACGCAGTATACGACGAAAAAATCAATTTTAAACCTCGAATTTAAAATATCGTATTATTATTTTATTTCCAGTAGAAAATATTAATATTTTGTGTTATAAGACTACGAATCAAATTAATTTCACATGCCCTAATCTACGGGTCGAATGTGTATTATTACGAAACGGTTTTCTGAATATACTTGTAGCATAAGTAGTCGAATAGAATGCGTGAAACTAAGCTAACGGACGAAAAGCGCTAAAATACGGCAGAATTATGCAAGACCAGTTTTTCAATAAAACATATTTAATCAATTACATTAAGTTAAAAAAAAAAAATCCATAGTGGTTTGCCATGATGAATGCTAGCTTTTTCTAATCGACAAACGACTTTCTTGTCTATATTTCTTTCTCTCTCTCCCTCTCACTGGCTTCCAAACATCGATGTTCGTTACACACACACACACACACACACATACTCACACACACTAACTACACGGCCACTTTATAAGTATAATTTATCAACGCGAATGCGTGTTTCCATAATATATTAATATATAATAATAATAATATATAATAATATATAATAATATATTGTACGCGTTCAAATGATTCCGATCGTATCACTGCTGTAGGTCTGCGGTAAAAGTCATTTTATCTTCGTAAACATTTACAACAATATTATTCGATCTGGATCACTTTCGCGGCAGTGGTAGCCGGGTGCAGGTACACACTCAATCTGATTAAACGGCCAAAGTGTCAGAGATTTCAAAAGCATTTCATCGTAATTTAATTCGACCGTTTTTATAATATATATATATATATATAGTAATATGTATATATGTGTTCTTGGGGCGGCCGTCGTTACGATGATACGTGAAAGGTTTCGGTAATGAATAATACATGAATATCGCCCGCTCGCGTTCGTCATACCCTTTTCCCGCACACGTCCGCGTTGGTTTTCCAAATGTAGTTTCTAAGTGCAATACTGTGTAATCCGTAAGCTGGAAAATAATTGGTAGTCCGGATCAAGCTCGGTATATGATCATGCAATGACATTAATATTACCGCATAATAATAATAGTAGTTTTGATAATAATCATAATAAAAATCAGCTGTACCCGTAGCGGATAACCGACGATAATGCGTTGTCGACGTGATGTGACTTCGCGAAACGTTTTTAAACGATATGATACGAGCATCTGCGTGTTTAAATGAAGAATAATAATGAATAAAATGAAATAATAAGCGACAATGTGAAATTTGTTTGATTTTGGTTATTTTGTTATGACATTTTGGAAAGGTCTATACGTTTTCTCTATCAAGCGGCTTGAATCAATTACCGATAAAACGGATACGCACATGCATCCCGTCAATTTTGGGTTTCGATTTCTCAACAATTACATCTATTCTACATAGATATTCGTTGTCGTTTGTAAAACGATAAAACAATAATGCAGTAGAACGAGCATTTCAATTGTTCCTCTCCGAAAACCGTTTTATAACAGAATTAAATTGTGAATTCATACTGATATTTGTTGTTTTTAGTAAATATTCTCTCGAAAAATAAAAGGTTTTACTGTTCTTCAATGCATTAAATCCATTTTATTTTGTATTCACATATTATCTTATACAATTCAAACAGAAATTTTTACTTAAATCTATAAATAATATTTATTTTATTTATTGTATAGTCACTCTAGCTAAATTAACAATGATTACATCATTTATGACTGATTATTATTTTATTATAATCGCGTTAAATCGAAAACAGTTCAAATATTTCAATTAATGAACATTATTTGAGGTAATTTTCGTGAATAATTCCAGAATTTTTATCCTTACAGATGTTAAATGTAATTCGTTTTGATTTGCAGAGATTTAATAAATTTATGTTAAAAGGAAATCCGAAAATGTTTTGACGTAAACCTTCTATACATATTTATATTCAGTCAGAATAAAATGTTGAACATAATAATTATTTCGAATTGTGTTAGATTCAAAATTATTCAAATCGTATTATAGTTATTATTTAACCAATGACAAAATTAATTCACGCCGATAACGAATTCATCATTGCAAGATTTTTTCTTAAAAATTAATAATAATAAAATTAACGACCAACTCATGTTTTTACAATAATACCGGTCTAGTGCAGTGTTAAAAACAATTATAGGATTATAGATAAAACCAAACAAATACGTAAACATTAAAAATGTCATTAATATAACGTATAACAATAACATTTTAAATGCACGGATCAAAACAATATATGTAAAAAGCAGATAAAGAATTATGAGAAGTCGCGGTCGGAATAGACGGACCAATGCAAACAGAGCCACATTTAACGGGAGACAAGGAGGGGGGGGCAATTGCCCTAAGGCGGCAAATTTTATAGTGTTTGATAGGGCGGAAAATGTTTGAGGATCAACAAAAAATAAAAAATATATACTTAATTATAATGTTTCTGGTATGACTGTATAACTATAATAAATATTATTTCTATGACATATATTATTTTTTATTTTAAATTGTAATTTTCTTTAGGGTGGCATATTTTAATTTGCCTCGGGGTGGCTACATAGTTTAACTTGGCACTGAGTGCAGAGATCAACTAATCCCAGAGCAACGTGTACAGTGGGACCTGGTTCAATACGTTTAAACCAACTCTGAAAGGCCGATCGATCAATCGTTTTTCGTGCAACTGTGTTATTGTAAGCTGGATATACAGAAATCTGAGTACAGGAATAGGCCTAACGAAAGATAACTGTACAATATATGAAATGTTCTTGCGATCGATATCCTTGAAGCGATAACAGGACAATTTTAATGTACAAAAAATATATTCGAAATGTTCATAAACTGTGTATGAAAAAAAAAAACAAAAATCTCGTCCAGAGCTCAATTATACAACACTTGCGAACCGTTTACGGAAGATATCATGATTTCGATAATGGAAACGATTCAAGGATGCTTATATTTACAATGAGTCCTGTTGCAGCTGAAGCGGTGGGTTGAACGTCGACGAATTGTCGATTATTACCGAAATTATGCTCGTGAACCTTACATTGCATTTCGACCGGGCGGTGTTCGATAATTACATGTGCACAACCGTATCGTAATAATAAACTGTGTACTCGCACGGAGTTCGACATAAGGGTCGATTCGTATACGTCACACGATGATAAGTTTGATGATTCGGCGCCTGTGAGTCATACACACTTCCAACTCGTATTTCCAACGAGTACCTACATCGAGGTCGTCTGTTTAACTTTCGAAGCGCATTTACTTATTTTACTCGGAAATGTGATTATTTTGTAAACGAAAGAAAAAAAGGGAACATTATGATATAAAATCGTATTACGATACAGTTACGAGTGTTTATCCGATTAAACTCGGAGGTCGAAATATTGTAAAGTTTATATAATCCCCACCAAATTCTCCGTTACGATAGCTACCCGGTGTTGCAGTAAAAAGTCAAACAAATCCTAACGAAACTTAAAAATGATATTCACATGTATTACAGGAATATACTGGCGCTTATTTTTCTTCCTTTCATATATGTGATTGCAGAACTGATATAATTATTGCGTTACAAATTACGTTACGCTCGAGAATATTAAATACTGTCAATACTTGGCGGGTTAAATTTCTGCTGCTACTGCTATAAACGCGTAGTACTATTCATTAGTGTTC